AATGGCAATGGCCTCCAACCTGATAGCGATGGCCTCCAACCTAATAGGGATGGCCTCCAACCTAATAGCGATGGCCTCCAACCTAATAGCAATGGCCTCCAACCTGATAGCGATGGCCTCCAACCTAAAAGCGATGGCCTCCAACCTGATAGTGATGGCCTCCAACCTAATAGCGATGGCCTCCAACCTAATAGCGATGGCCTCCAACCTGACAGCGATGGCCTCCAACCTAATAGCGATGGCCTCCAACCTGATAGCGATGGCCCCTAATCTAATAACTTAATAGCGTCTAATAGCGATGACCTCCAACCTAATAGGTCCTCCAACCTATTCCATTTAAAAACCAAAAACCATTCAGAATCATGTGTGCATCGCATCACTATCACCACTAATGAGCTAGGGAGGCATCAACTATCCTAAGCCTGTACAAGGATTTCTTAAGCAATGGTTCAAACAATCTACGCAGCACTCAGGTCATTCTTGGTTGTTGCATCTTCTCCTGAGAAGGCCTCACAATTCACGGTGAGGGTATCATAGTTGGACTCTGTCTCAAAACCTTCCACCTCGATGGGCAGTGCCGCCGTATGGTTCACTGCGATGCGACAATAGTCTGCGGAGGTGTAGTTCTGGGGGAAGTGTGGAGATGAAATGCATTTCTGCGCATCCTCGGCAACTGATCGGAGCAACTCAAGCACTGTTTTTGCTCAATCAAATCACTCCATGGAATATCAAGGGACTGTTGTGGGACGTTTGAAGACCACAGTGTGAAAGCGTTTGAACGTTCCGACAAGTTCTTGCTAAAAACCACAGGTTCCAGTCCTGACATGTTCTCACCAAAAAGGCTCACAACTGGTGCCTTACTAGTAGTAACAAGAAGCTACTAGTAACAAGTGCCACGCTAGTAGTAACAGGTGCCTTACTAGTAGTAACAAGAAGCTTTAATCCCAGCATCCATGACACAGTCTCCAGCTACCACAGCCCACATAGCACCTCCAAAGTCCACATCGGAGTCGGTGTCAAAGTCGGATTGCTTCACCTTGCCGTCCATGACATCCCGAATCCATGACAATGCCGTCGACACTCGGGCATAGACCCCTGCAGGTGACCGGTGAGCGAAAAATATCTTGAAATCAAATTCACGACTGGTTTAGCTCGTGCTTCCGACGATAACTGTGACATTGAAAGCAAAACCGCATCGTCGTCGAAAGGCAGCACTTAACCAGATCCATTCGAAACGACGTCTTGTCTGACCCAAGGCCCTGGAAGGACCTCTGTTTCAACAAAGACACGTCCAACATGCAATTTCTACAAAGGATCTGTGAGGTACATCAAATGCCAGGTTTTTGTGTCACTGTTCAAGAATGTTCAAGACACCCACCATCGGTGTGCGAAGCTCTACAAGTACCCCAACAATCGTGAAACACTCCAAACGTGGACACGTCAACGACGAGCTCCGCTCGCTGCTCGTGCGCTCCGCGCGCCTGGGAATCCCTCAACGCCACAGCCCTCGCCCCAGGAGGTCACCCCACGAACCACGAAGCGTCCATCCTCCTGACAAATCAATGGTCCTGGACGTGCCACAGCCCACAGGGCGCCCGGTGAGACGAGAGGATGGAGGGGAGGACAGAGATGGACCTAGCCCCATTCGTAGCGTCCGATCGCTCCTAGTAGCTATGCCAGTAGCCCCTAGATCCCCTAGTAGCGTCCTTGCTCCTAGCCACACCAGAAGCATGGCCATCTTTTGGAAGAGAAAAAAGAACGTCAATGCATGGCACTCCTGGATGTCTTTTCAAATGAAGGCACTTCAACCGTTTGGCATGAACGAATTCCAAAGTTAGATGACAACCCCACGTCCTTCGACATCAAACATCTTTTTCACCAGGTCGCATATGTTCTTGCTTAAAATACTAAAAGGCGAGAACACACTGAGACACGAACCCAAAAACACGACTGCCCCAACGGTGGTCCTCCACTATCACCCTGGCAACTGTCGGTGATGCCGCCCGGTGTGTGCCCACTGGCGCAAAGCATGTTGTCCGTCACAGTGTCATTTTCCTTGGCATAGGCGTTCACGCAGCTGCTCTTGTTCCTCAGAGCGCCGAGGGCATACGGTTCGTATCTAAAGATAGGGGACTTGAAGACATTCTGAAATTAGGAGCGGCATCAGATCACCTCAGATTCGTTCTCATGAAAATCTTGGACTCAGCAATCCAAACGAATGAACTCCTGAAGAATTGTAGCAAGATTGGTGAGGTTGGGCGGCTGCTTTGGGAGGCTTTGGGCAGAGAAGATCAAGCGAGCCCAAACCCTTGATGTTGAGGTCTCCATCGGTCTTTCCACTGATTTTAGGTGGAATCAGTGTGTTCTCACTCACTGGCATGCAGATATTGCCAGGCCAGCAAGGACTGAAAGTTGTTTGATGTTCACTCCGGCAATAGTACTGGCCTGTTTCATCAGAATCTAGGGGTTGTACCAAATTTGACATTGGGTGTGGCAGGCGCATCATCAGGGAGTGGTTGAGGGTGCACTGAGTGTGGGAGGCCACCTTTTTTTCTCTTCTTCGCACCGATCATGGTGAATCGCAGCGGAATCCGCTTGAGGAATCACGTGACCCAACGCGGCACTTGCCGGCATGATCGCAGGGTGGAATTGGGGACGAGCATCAGATTATGTCCTGTCACCATGTCTAGCAAGGTTTGGGGATCAAAAGAGGGGTCCTAGCTTTCAAGTAGAACACCATGTGGCCTTAATTTGACCAAAAACGGAGCCGTTGCAAGCTGCAAGCCGCATTCAGCCTGGCATCAAAAGCGTCACTGGCGCTTCCTGCAAGGTGTCAGGCGTGGGTCCAGACGAGGAGGTTGTGCCCCAACCAGTGATGCTGCACTCAGCACCCGCCCGGTCTCCGCTGCTGTCCTGCACAGTTTCAGCGATTTGAGTGGCACAACCTGGACCAACCTGGTCGACCACTTCTGTCAGGTTTGAAAGAGAGAAAGGTCCACATGGACAAAAAAGAAAAGGAAAGAAGCCTTAGAGTGATTTGCATCAGTCAATCTGTGTCTTCTCTAAAAACGAGCAAAGAGTGCTGATAGTCTAGTAGCTCTCAAGGTGGGGTCCCAACAATCCGGTTCAAAGCCCGAAACTCAGTTGGAAAGCAGCAAACTAGTAGCTTCTTGTTACTACTAGTAAGGCACTTGTTACTACTAGCGTGGCACTTGTTCCTAGTAGCGTTCTTGTTACTACTAGTAAGGCACTTGTTACTA